TCATGTAAATGCCGCGTCACGCAAAAGCTTAGAAATTCAAGCGTAGTATATCACAAAACCAAGAACCTATTCGGGGCGAAAGTTTGTATGAATACTAGTTTTCAGCTGCTCTTATACGTCATTTAAGTAAAATCTCAGAAAGACCAATAGTTTTATAGTTCGAATTTTGGTGACGTCATGTGAAAACCAGCTATTGTCACTTTATTTATAATCTTTTGAGCTTCAATCACTCTGGTATTAACGCATGTTGAAGAACAGTTTATTTCCCGTTCAGTCACTTCCTGTTATTTCTATATACATGTGCTTGCAGAGTTCTTTTATGTGCATTATCCAAAATAGACTGAATTGCAGTTCGTTGAAAGACTACTTAAAAAGCGTCCACCGCGATTGAGCACCCCGGCCCCTATTGACCGAAATTTATAATTTAGTGCTGGGCGCCTATTCGAGGAAATACGGTATCTGTCTTTTATGAATGATAGGCGCACCATGAAGATCAGTCAATATTTTGATGTTTTACCACTTTAGATTCTGATATTTTGGTCTTAACTAGGTTATTCCTGTAAATATAACCCCCGGGTTACGTTCGACGCCCCAAGGACTTTGTATGGCATCCAGAAGTTCACAATTTAAAACAATAATAACTAAATGCAAAAAGATCTTAGTCCCGGTTTCTGCCCGTGCACTATTTTTGTTTTGTGGAAACCATCTTCAGAGTACAGAGCATTTTCAATACCCAGTCTACCTAGGCACTTTCTTTACTCCCTCTCCCTATCGATATTTAGATAACCAGTACCAAGGGGCAAACTAAAGAAATGTGTATCGACAATCACATGATCCCAGTGATCTGCTTTTGATGACAGACAATATATTTTCTAGAATTGCTAACTTTTTCCGAGAAAAACCGGAAGACCTCCTACTGTGGCAGACGCTTGGCCTTTTTTGACTGGCTGATTTTGAATAAGACGTTTATAACCGGTTCGAGCTTGCATCTTTCACAGTTCGCTTCCTTCGAGAGTCGGCTTCAACGGAGTATTCTTGGCTCAGCAAATCAGGTAAGTCCTCATCAAACGCAACCCTTTTAAATATCAAACACGAACACCCACTCATGATGAGTAATGTCTTAGCTCTCGAAATAACAATTGCATTTCCAAACAGCACAAAAGATAAAGTTGGGTGATGCATGACTGCATGGTTAGTTTATGCTTAATTTGCATTGTATAGCACTGTAAAGAGCTCTCGGAGGCTTCGGGAGCTGTTCTTCTGCGTTAATTTTTTTCAATTTCTTCGCACACAGACTTCTATATGTTGTAAAGTTCAGCGTACAGAGACATGCAACTACATGAACTAAGAAGGACAGTTTGTTACTAAACTTATGTCAATATGGGTTTGCAAGCGTGAATTTGCTGTCTTGTTTGTGGTTCACTTGGTTTTCATATGATTATGAAGTTGCGTAAGACATGAAAATGTTCTTATTTGACAGGAAATGTAACTCCTTGAGGTTATCCTCGAAATTCTTAATAGTGACTGAATTGTTACTTATCCAAAACTTTATTGGCCATGTTGCTTACTGTTGTCAAAAATCTACGCTCGATAAAAACAGCTAAAGTGAGACAAATCGTTGCACCTAAACTCAGTATTCTCTTTGTCAAAAAGTAATATTAGCGGTGAATTTTTGAACAAGGAATTATTTGTAAAAGGTAGATAACAGAGATGTTTCGCATAACTCCGCTGAAAAACACATCCTCTAACTATGCAAATTACTAACTATGAAAGACCGTTTCTTGTCATCAGTTCAACCTCTCAGACAATGTGGATTATCAATGAATGGAAATCCAAACAATCTTCGTGACTTTATGACACCGATTATATTTTGAATTTACATATTTTTTTTTCTATAAATTTACACAGTTGTTTCTGTCTGATGAACGGATTCGGGGTTAAGAGTAGCTCTAGTGCTATTTGTTTCACCTTTACGTTTAGATGAGATATAGTCAATTATATATCATTAAACAGTACGACATGTTGCTGAGCCAAAAAAAAAAGTACAAAGTTCTAGAACGACGGGCTGAAACCATCGGGGCTGGCGCCAAATGATACCGATCGCCCGGTATGTCTTCAAATGTTTAATGGTGTGCTCTATAATTATGATAATTCGGCATTTCCACATTTTACGATTAAATCTTCAGTGGTGTCTGGGCATATAAGCATTGAATGGCAAAGATATCAGTGACGTCACCTATTGTTATTAATATGCCAACCAGAGAACTATTAGCTGGTGAAACAAAGAGTTCTTTTGTTTAACGTTTTGAGCATTTAAAAAATAAAAAAGATGTTTGTAAAATATGGAAATAGATTTGGAGTTGGAGTTTGCTTTCGCATTGCTTACGACTTTGCGGGAACGTCCTTTGAAAGCATTCATATGTTAGGAAAAATAATGAGACTAAATTTCGATTGGATGGTTTTGTTGGCTTCGTTTGTGAAATAAACTTGATGCAAGATACCATTGGGGAGGCGTTGGCCGCAACAGCACCAATTGTGGAACTTGCATCTGATTACCAAATAACACTATTCCTCTTTGCAGATTGCAAATTATGTGGGCTTTGGAGGGAGCGATACAAGAGCAGGGTGCGCATCTGACGAGAGTACTTCGTGATTTTTCCGAGAAGAATGTGAAGATTTCAGAGGCAGACAAGACCCGCTCAAAGAAACTGGTGAAGGACTACATTAAAGGCCACATCATGGAGTACTGTGGAAGAAACTCTCCGCTTCCAATCCACGGATTAGAGCATACAGGAAGCGTTTACGAGAGGCTGAAAACGGAAGCTTTGGATGAAGTAGATTTTATGGTTGTGGTGAAAACAGCGAACCCAGGTCGTCCAGGATCACGGAGTGATCTCGGGATTACTGTTGAACAAACTGGTGAGCCTGGTTACGTGCGTTTTAAAGTCAAGGAAGGCTCTAATCTTCACTCGTATGCCAGTCCTGAAGGGTACATCAGTCCAGAGCGGTTTCGAGGTCGCTGGCTGCATAGTCTTGTTTCTCGTGCAGCAAAGGACTTCAATGACAGCTCTTCAAGTTCTGACGTCCGTTTGCATGTGCGCCAGCACGGTCCCGCCGTACAGCTAGATATTACGGAGAAGAAAACCTGGGCGAAGCTGTTGTCGGTGGATCTAGTCCCCAGCTTGGAAACTGATGCTGGTGAACATTTTGTTCCAAAGCCTAACAAGTCGCTTTCCATTCGCCATCCCGACCTTCTTTGGAGACAGTCGTTTTCACTGGAGGAAAAAGCCACGTTGAAAAACATGGACAAGAATGACCAAGGCTGCAGGCACGAACTCTTTAGAATCGTGAAAACCTTAGTTCAGAAGGAGCCCACGTCGTTCGGAGCACTGAATTCGTACCACTTGAAGACCGCTTTCATGCATTATATAAAACAAAACCCTGGCAATTGGGCTGACCAGCACTCTCTTGGGCATCACTTTGTTGGATATCTCGGAGAGCTGAAGAAGAATCTGGACAAGGGAAATCTTCAACACTTCTGGATTCGTGGCGTAAACCTGATCGAACAGGATGGCATCGAACCAACAGTTACCAAGCAAATGGCAAACCGTTTGAAAAATATCCTAGAAAGGGAACCCAAAGGAAATCCAACTTCAGTCTCGAGAAATGCGAGAATGCAAACCGAAAGTCGTCAAATTCTCCCTCGTTTAAGAATTCCGCCAAGCGTAGATCGAGCGCAGCAGACAGAACGAATTCCACTGTTCAATATAAGGCGATATGATGCATGCGATAGCATGGAAACTGCTGACTGCTACCAGTTTTCTCGTTTTAGGATGTTCGAAGACTCTGATTCGTTTGATTACGGTACGCAAAATCCTATCACACGCGCCCTTAAGTGTCTGTTTAAGTTTCTTTTCAAGTTATTGTTGGGGCTAGTTCTCTTGGGGTTTTCGTTACTAATCTATATATCTTGGTTAGCAGGTGTAGGGTTGTTGATTATCTTAACTTGGTTCGGATTGTCTCAGATTGACTAGGATTTACTTAGCAGTTTTGAACAAAAGCGTGAAGCCTCGGCCTACAAAATAGCTCAACTATTCTTCTAGCGAACTATGCAGTACCCATTATTTTAGTTATTACCCTTTCTGTGTACCTTAGGTTTCTATTTACCAAATCGAAATATTGCATCAGGGCACGGAGTTAACAAATCTTCTCTAGTACAGGCTTAAAAATATCCAAGGAGTTCATGTATGTAGTTCTAAGCCTCTTGCCTTCGACTGATCTCGATCGACGTGTTCCCAGTCAAGTCAAGTCAAATTTGTTATACGCTGTTTACAACCATTTCTTAGAAAAGATAACTTAATGATCGTGAGTACACGATAGCATTTGTACGATTTGTGGACGGTGAGTTACAGTGGCCGAAGAAGCAAAAGCATGTTCGAATAGATAGACGATCCAAGATGTTTTGCAATGACAATAGCAATGGCAATGGCAATGGCAGTGGCAATGACAATAAAGGCAATTGCAATGGCAATTGCAATGGTAATGACAATGGCAATGATTATGGCAATTAAATGATAATGATAATAGTGACAATAAGACCGATAGCTTTGGATGGAAAGACGAGTAACTCCAAAGCTATTCTAACCGGCTAGAAGAAACACTTGTAATTTTTTTAAATAGTAAAATATTCTAACAGTGATCTCTGCTGCCTTGAATCAAACATAAATTTACCAGTAACTGCCAGTAAGCTATAAGCTCAAGCATGATTAAATAAGTCACCGTAATATTTATTTTGGGGTGGCAACAAATTTCTTTTGATGTGTTCGCTGTCTAGGCCCAGTTCAGACGTCGTGCTTCTGCCGTGCCGAACTTAATTGCGATTTGGTTGGATTATGGCACGGCAGAAAAACAACTCTGATTCAGACGTCGTGCCAGAGTCGAACAAATTCAGAATTTACTGATGCCTCGTAACAATTCTTCTCCTAACTCCCCGTGGCAACGCAATCCCGCCACAATACATTAATGTTATTTATGAATTTTGTTTGGCGCGACAGAAGCATAACGTTTGAATCGCTGCCATGCCAGAGTCGTGTAGCATAGCAGAGCTTGTCGACCTTAATTGCTTGTCGAGCTTGATTCAAAAGTTTGATTCAGACGCCGTGCTTCTGCCGGGCTTTGGTCGAACTTAATTCCTGAATTCAGTTCGGCACGGCAGAAGCACGACGTCTGAACTGGACCTAGGACGGTAAAGCGTAAATTGGAACTTAACGAACCGAATAGGAAAGAAAAAAGTTTTCATACAAACGCGAGAAAAGAAATGGACGCTCGGCGACGGCTTTAGGCCCTGTTTACATGGGGGCAGGGTGCCCCGGCTAACCCTGCTACTCAACTAAGGTTAGTAATTTTGTAATTTCATATTGACTAAATACAAAGCTTTGGCTTGGAGTTTTGGCAATGGCAACGTTTATATTCTATTGTAGTAGGCTTTGCGTCAGCTTCAAAGTTGCTGGTACTTTGGGCGCTGATATTTAAACATGAAACTCAGACGTTTCGGAACTATTGTCCCTTCATCGGAGAGAATGATCCTTAAGCGAAAACGCGCGTTATGATAGTCAAATTTCGCTCAGAGTGCGCTCTGCCAGAATTCAAACGAAATTCATTCCGCTGTGTCGCAGAGTTGGGCATGTAAATATGAGACGGCCCTCCGCGCGGCGTCTTTCATGGTGTTACGGTATCTTGTTCGTGCCACGGACACCATGCTCTCCCGGACACAGAGCAGAAGTCATGAGAAATGTTTAGCCATGGGCCATGGCAGCTTGCCGTGAACAACAAAGGCGTATTGTCAAAATCGTCGTTTAGGAAGATTAAAACGAACGAAATCAATGAGCGCGCAGGAAAATTGCTTACCACGAGATACGGAACACTCGAATGGGGGCGAAATAAATTGACGTCTCTTTGGCTTCGAAGCTAGCAATCTTTTTCAAACTCGCAATGCCAATTTCAAATACTCCATTTCAGTTTCTTTGGAGACCGGCCAATGAAATCGACCATACAGGTCAGTTTTCAGAACTCCCGGTTTTTCCTAGGAACCTTGAACCCAATTTTAGGAATATTTTCGTATGCTGGCCACAGTCTGCTGACAAAACGTAAACAACAGGCGAGATTAAATGGTTTATACTTCGCAGGAAACACAGCTAACAAGCACGAATAAGGCGAAAATCGAAACTGTCAACAAGTTGACTGTATTTTGCTTTGTCGTCACTGACGAAGGCGTCTCGGCATCTCCTTAACAGTTCATTAATTTGTAGTTCAACGGAAGGTGAACTGTAAAATTACTACGTACCGACTATTTTTATTGTCACAAGTATCCTTCGCGTAAATACTGGTCTGTTAAGTTGACATACGAATTAATACCATTTCTTTCGTCTAGTCCTTTTTAGTCGTGGATACGCGAAGCGTAGAAACGACTATTAGAATGGGGCAGAATATGCAAATGTATCACTCACTCAGATGTAAACAAATCGATATGTCGACGGCAGACCAATTGATATCGATTCTCTCAAACAAT